ATATATATATTATATATATATATATATATATACATATATATATATATATATATATATATATATATATATATATATATATATATATATATATATATATAATATATATATATATATATGCATACATATACGGGCCACACACTGTGAGCGATCAAATGAGAGCGTAAGCTCTGTTTTTACACCCCTTTTATAACCTTGGGAGTATAATGAAGATAATGCTTTTGAGAAACAAGCATGATTTTTTGCATGCTTGTAAAGCTAAAAAGTAATCTCAACACATGTTGCAATGGCTGAAAGTTTTAGCATATATAGAGTCCAGACTTTCTAACAATGCCATGTGTGTTACTCTCAGTAACACATTTGCCCCCTCACCCCAAAAAGTATCTTATTACCCTCTGGATGGTATTACTCATCTGTGTGCCAAGCCTCAAAGCACCCATAGGTGCAGAGGCCTACATTGCAGTCAGGGCAGAAGCTCCTGGTGTTCTTCCGTTGACCCTGTTCTGAACACCAACGGCACCTCCTCCTCTTGCCATCAGGGATTTCGGTGACGGCGTGCCGTCGCTGTTGTAAGGCCTGCCTCACAGCAACTGGTGGTCGTGTTGCAGTGCAATGCCTGGTAGAATCGGCTCCTTCTCTAAAGTCCCCTAGTAATTCTTTGGCGAGATCGGATCTGAAGGTTTTCTGAGACTCACCTCCGCCTAGGGCACGATGGACGGCCCAGGCATTGACAATAGCCAGGTCAAAGAGGTAGAAGAAAATCTTCCTGTACCAGGCTTTGGAATGGCGACTCATCTGATAGTAGCTTGCCATCTGATCACCAAACTCAAAACCTTTCATGCTGTTATTGTAATCTACTACCACTGACGGCTTACTCCCATCCATTGAAGCAGTATGGATTGTTGACAGCAAAGTGAAAGTGTCACGGCCCTTCCACTGCAAGGCCAGCAACCCATTGCTGCTGCAGTAGTCCACATCACCTTTTCCCCTCACACTGAGGTCCTTGGGCATAAACTTCCCTATTCAGCTGGGCTCTCCCTGCCGCATTTGTATTTCTTGCCTGCAATATACGAAAGAGACTTGGCGATGTGTACCAGGCATCCACAAACAACTGGTATCCCAGCCCAAGAAAGCCACCAGTCTCCATCAAATGAAGCACTGCTTTCGTGGACGAGGGTATGTCGCCACGGTCCTGCCCAATGTATACCTTAAAACAAGAAGTGTACCCTGCTGCTGGGCCAGTAGTGGCACAGAGTTTACAGACCTTCAACCCAAAGGTTGCCCTCTTGCTTGTGTTGCAGGTATTGATATCTAGTTTCTCATGGAACTTCCACAACGACTCGTCAATGGTAATTTCCTGCCCCGGCATGAATGTCGATCGGAATGAGTTGCTGAGGGCATTCACAACTGGTCGGAGCTTCCACATCCTGTCTCTGGGAGTGGAGCTCCTTCCTCAACATGGGCAAAATGGAGGCAAGCTGTTAACTGGTCAAAGCGATCCCTGGTCATGACTTCAGCAACGAGTTCATGACGTAGGACGGGACTGGACGACCAATAGTCATAATAACTAGGGCGACCTGCCAACCCCATTATCACCCGAATTCCAAAGTATGCCTGGAGCTCCTCCCTGGATGTGGGCATCCACTTCCTCATCTTAGGTGAGGTACAAGGAGGGTGGGCAGCTGCATACCTGTGGGAAAGGAAAAGAAAAGCAAGTAATATATTTTGATTACTCAAGATGATTGGCTATTTTTTTTTCAATGTCTTTATTTTTCTTGCCGATTTTGATGAAACTTGCACCCTTTCATTAAGACCTTAGCCTGATCTCAAAGTCTCAAGACAGAAAAAATACCAAGTTCCTATTTTAAAAATTGACAGTTTCAAAAATCATATCAAATCCAGAATAAATACACAGGCATTCTGATGTGATTTTTGAACAGATTCATCCTAAATCTAGTGTTTGTTGCAACACTTTCTTTTACATATATATTTTTACAAGAAGCAGAGGAAAATAATACAAAAACTAAATGCAACAAGCACTAGATTTATTATTCAGCTACAAAATGTGGCATAAAACATTTACTTCAGACTAAAATTGTGTGTGGTATTGCATGGTGGATGCAGATATTTAGAATTTGACCTACTTTTTTGTGTGAATATTTCACATTGGCAACTTTTAGAACACCATAAAGGGCACCATTTCCATGTATTCCATGACATTATGTTTATATATATTGTTACTTATGTTTGTTTGTTGTTGGTTTATGTTTGTATAATTCAAAAAGTTATGAACAGATTTTACCGAGATTTTTACCAAAGGTGTGTCTCTTAGCCTAACTTAGATGCCATGACATTTTGGTGGTAATCCAGATCATTTGGCAAACCTACAACCATATTCAAAACATTTTGTTCAAGGATGAAACTGACACAATATGAGCAAAACATAAAGAACAGAAAATACTCCATATCAGTGGCATAACATTTTTATATAGCTGTATACAAAAATTCTTTGTTATTGTTTTTTGCATGGTTCACAGATTTTATAGATTAATCTGGAAAAATAAAGGTAGGTCTCATATGTGAAATTTTATAAGCTTTCAGAAAATAATCTCATATTTTTATAACATCTAATCTTTATGTCTCAACAGTTGATTTTCTAAGGTAAGGTGAAAAAATCATAATTCGGTAGACATCGAAATGGCTGCTACCACCTGAAAATTAGTGGCTGGCCCTTGAAATTTTCATGGCAGATTTAGAGGCCTTGAAATCCAATTCAGCAAGATGGGCAATTTTTTGCCAAAAAATTACCAGATGGTCCCCTTAATGCAAGAGATATTTCCTCAATCTGAATACAAGTGCAAAGAACACAAATTCAATAATAATAAAACTTACCAGTTGGTCTCCTTGACAATTAGATCAAGGAGGTCATCGGTGAAGAACCAGCTGAAGATCTCCAAGGGCGTGCTTGACACATCCAATTTGACTTTGACCCCAGGACTGCCTTGGAAGCTGAAAAGGTTGGGGATGTTGTCTTTCCGTTTCCAGGCGAATCTCCTGGTCCCTGGAACATTCCTCTTTATCATTTTGGCTGCCACATTGGAGAGTGGCTCATCAATGTCATGTGTGGTGGTGGCCTGCGAGACGGAATCCAGTTCGTCTTCTGAACTGGATATATCAAAGCATGGGTCGAAAGCATCTTCTAAAGTACTGGGCAACCACTCATGATCCCGCTCATCATCACTATCGTCAGAGGAAAAGTCAAAGAAGGTGGGAACCCGTGAGGACTGCCAAGATCTGTGTGGTGGATGGCGCCGAAGAACCTTGGCAGGAGGTTCCCCTGAAGTCGATGGTTGGGGTTCATCTCCCTCAGAGGAGGAGGAGCTGCGTCTTTGAATGCTGGCAAAGGGAGGCATTGTGAAAGTAAGTAATGAGTGAGGTACAAGCACTTCTATATATAAGGGAAAATTCCTGTGCTTTGAACTGACAAGGAACATAGAACTAACAGTAGCCAGCAAGATTAAAGCAACCTGGGTCACATGTTACATAAAATGACCAATCACATCATTGCCTAATATCCTGACATCAATTCCTTATGTGACATCATTTACTGCTATGTGGAAGTAAGATGGTGGCTGTAAAGTGACATTTTTTTATGATGTCTTGAAAGTAAATATGGTGATTGTAATGATATCACTTCCTCAGTTTTATGATGTCAGTTCCTCAGCTTAATGATATCACTTCATGACATACCTATCCATGAAGTTACTTTGTGATGTAACTCTTCATTACATCAATTTGTGACATAACTCTTCATGATATCACTTAATCTGCCTACCTACCTGACTATCTGTCATATATTTATCTATCTATTTATCTAGCTATCTGTCTACCTGCCTGCCTCTCAATTTATCTACCAATCAATCTCTGCCTATATGCCTGACTCTATGTCTAAGTCTGTGTCTGCTTGACTATCTATCTCTCTCTCTTCCTCTGTCCTTAGTACAGCTTTTGTTTTTTTTCATTTTAATTTTCTGTCCGTTTTTCTCTCTCTCTCCTCATAATTCCCCTACTCTTCATATGGCCTTAAGACATAACTTGTGATTACGTGTGCAATAAGAAATTGTCTTGGAAATATCCATGTAGACATGGCAGTTGTTAAAGAGGTCCATGCATTACGTATGTGTGAGATGCCCAGCAGATGGCTCAGAACAACAGCGTCTCACATATGAGACACCTGGAAATGATTTGGGTGTCCCACTGGTGGATGTTCTTTAAATCAGGTAATGAATGCTCTCATTAATTTGCTATGTTAAATACTTTGAATATTTTCTAAAAAATAACAGTTATTCAGTGATTTAATATTTGGTTTTATGAGATTCAGTTTCAAGTGAAAACTTCACTGGCAGAGCTGACAGTGTTAAGTTTCCAAAAATGTTCCAATGAATGATGTAGAAATTCAATAATATCTCTTATACATACATTTATGATTTTTTTTTATACAGTTTGTTTACTAAGTGAATGTTATATTAAAGTTACTAAACACTGCTCTTATTCTGTGCATGATTTATATCATAACTGACTATATGTCTTTCATGTACACCAATAATATCCAGTTTACGGTAATTGTCACCAACAGCGACAACCCCCTCCCAGAGACTAAGTGGGAAAAAAAAAAAAAAAAAAAAAGAAGAAGAAGAAATTTTTCATGAAATGGAGTATCATTTCTCCATCGACGATCTTGATAACCTGATAACAGGGGAGGACATGAAGTATATCAGGGAAATTATGGGGTAAAACAGGCTTACATAAGAATAATAGCAAACAAAAATGCATAAAATTAATACAAAAAACACTTTAAATCGGGTAATGAAACTCTACGGGAACCTAACCCTTCTTTTGGCAAAATCTGCTAGAATTCACATTCCAAACCCCCAAAAAACATAATCAAACAATTTAAGTTGCCGTGACTAAGGGGAGGGTTGATGGGGGCTCTGCCCCCACCACCCCAGGAAACATTCTCTTCACCTCAGTATATACGCAAGTAGAGCTGTTCACAACGTAAAAAAATAACTAAACAACTTTATATCTGGAAACATCAAACTTTCGTTTGCTTTTTCTACTGCCTGGATTGCTTTGATTTTAATCACTTTTTTTGGTAATTGGAGCTCTTGATGGGTCGAAATAATAAACAGGGATAGTTACTGAAGTCTATTTCTTCTTTGTTGCCACTTTATATAGTCTTAAGAATAACCAGGAGTCAACACAACACTGGAAATGCAATATTTCTCACCGGTGTTCTATCACTGAATGGACGGTGAGCTGTCAAACCAGGGGGCTGGCTAATGAAAGTATGAGACGCATGATGTGCAGATAATTCTTAATAAATGTATAGATAAATGTTAAAACACGTAAATGAAGTATAATAGCATTAATAAAAGACTTTAAAAGCATAAATGTGTAACAGCAGACCATAATTGGCCAAATATCGTTTTGACAAGTGCGTAATAACTACTTCGGACATCTGGTATTGAGTTAAGTGGTCAGTATTGTGCATTCCTGGCAAGGTAAACAAGAAAGCAGGACTTAGAATCTGAGCAGAAATAGTGAGGTATATTTTAGTCATTTAGCCATGACTATGAGGCCGCTGCAGCTTAAACAGTGTTGTATCCTATTCTATTTTTTCTGCTCTAAAAGATGGCGGTGTCCAGTTCCCTCTATCTATGCACGTTGCTATAAGTAACTTCTATCCAGTTTCCTTCCAGCATTTCAGTGACAACAATCTATTCTTATAACTTCTCAACATATGGAAAAAAGAGAAAGAAAAAAAAAAAAAAAAAAAAAAAAAATGTATATATATATATATAATATTTCTTGATAAATAAAAAAAAAGAAGAAAATTTTAATAATCCCAGCTTCTCAAAAATGGAACTGAAAATGATATGAGATCTTCTCCCACTGTGAACGTACCTCATCATCACCATCACAAGCACTGGCTATCACAAAGTAGAAAGCTGCCACAGAGGCCTCTACGGTGGTCCTGGAAGTGTGTTGAGGTCAGGTACTGGGGCTGGTGGAGTTGTTCTGGCAATGGTAGAGTGCTGTTGTTACTCTCAGAGGTGCTGTCAGTGTGAAAGTGGTGACATAAAGTCTCATAAACGATGACTCAGTTTGAAGCTGTTTCTCTTCTCCTCCAAGTACTTTGTGACAATGTCTGCTTTATCCTCTAGAGATTTCTCCTCCTCAGCCACTCTTTAAAGAATAAAAAGAACTGTATATTTAAAGTTAAGCAATTTACTGACATAATCAATGCAAGTTCTGAATTAAGCATTTCATTGAAATTCAGCATACAAACTCTTAGACACTGATTTAGAGTGAGGAACAAAATCCTTAAAATCAAAATATCAGATATTATGTTGCGCTTGGAACTGCTTGTCCTGCTTGTCCAGACCAGTTGGATGAGACGTTTTGACCGTTTGGAACCTCTACTATCTTATCCTGGACAAGTTGCCCATCTCGGCCTCCTGCGAACCTGGGCGAGCAGGACGAGATGACGTCACAATAGCTTTTGTATGTAAACGCTGACAGCTGCAGGTAACCACAAGATATTGGTGTGTAATTTCATGGCCCTTTACTGCTGACATCAAAGGATATTTTTGTGTTTGTCAGTTGCAGGCAAGTTAAATATACATCAAAGGAGTTACGAAACCTATGCAGCGTGTAAATTGACACCAATATGATAAAAAAGTGAATGTTAACATTCGAGCGCATTGCATTCTGGGCAGAAAGGGTCTTGGGGGGTTCGGACGTGGCCACTCGTCCTGCTGGTCCTGGACAACTTGTCTGGAGGATCAAGACCAGGAGTTCTGCCCAGCATTAGATATTAGACATCATGCATATGGAAATACAATATAAAGAAATACCCTACTCCTGATAAACATCATTTAACCCACTCGACAGGATTCCCCAGTGCCATACTAAGCTTAATGAGTCAGACAATTAAGTGAAAAATTAGAATTAGATTCAAAGATAGAAAATTACCTTATGTATACACCTATACGGTAGCATTATATCATGAATATATGAATTTGTGTCACTACAAATACATGCATATAAATGGCTTCAAATACCCTTCGAATTCTATAGGCAACTGAAGTAAAGGTGTCAATCCAACTATACTCGCATCATCAGTGTATATTCTGCGAGGACTCTCTCGTAAGAGATCGCGGGGCATGGGGGTAGGGTGATTAATTCAGGGTGTTGCTATCGAGGAATAGAATAATTTTTTCACGCAATTTTAAAGTCATTGTCATATAAAGATTCAGAAAGTTTATACTTTGAAATCAAAATCTAATTATAATGTTCTTAAAGCTTTCTTTTTTTAGTCTATTGATAGATTACATGAGTTGAGTGTTTTTCTAACCTGGATATAACATTACCTTTCTATATTTTTGCGTTCACTTGGGCATATCTGCAGGGTCCCAAGCACTCAAGGTGAACGCCTTCGCCGCGTGTACCTATCAGCTGATTTTTGTAAACAAACAGGTCTTCCACGACGGACATCTCGGAGACTCATCCAGAGAGATGAATTACGATAACAAGAGGTATCCTATGGCGGCAAAGTCAAAAGTGAGAACCGGTCAGACTTTGAAGAGTGAACATCAACGTGTAAGAGTGATCAATCTTTAAAAAGTACCGAACTCAGTGAAGTGAAAGCTTATGAACGGAAACTTTGATCTTGATCCAGGTGAAGAACCTGGAAAAGACAATGAAATGATATACGAACACCAGAAAAACAGCAGAAGACGAGACAGTGATAGCGAAGATTGCCCATACACCAAACAAGCAAGAAACGAAGAAACCGGCAAACAGACCACGGAGAACCATACCTACGGAACAGTAACTCAAGGTACCCCTCAGAAAATGTTATTCTAATACAATAACAAACAAATCAAATACCTCAAACTTCAACCATCCAATAAGGTTAACTGAGGCCATAAATAAATCAATTTTTCAAAAATACATAATTGAAAATTCATTAAGAGTAATAGGAGATGGAAAAGCCATTAGATTCGAGGTAGTAGATATATCAAAAATTGGACCTCTCAATGAAATTAAATACCTAGGCAACTGGGAAATAAACTGTAAGCAACCTGCATCAAATAAAGATCAAGGATGCTCCTATGGAACAATATCCCCAGTAGAAACAGATATAGAAATAGAAGAAATCAAAGAAAAAACCAAGATACTATGGGGGCCAGATACATACATAAAAGATATAAACAAGGATTCATAAACCAAGTAAAATATCAGGAGAAAATAAATGGATTCCTACTAAATCCCTGAAATAACATTCAGAGGTCCATTACCTAACAAATTAACAATAGGTCATATAAGTTATAAGGTATATCAATACACATTCCCAATATCCAAATGTTTTAAGTGTCTAATGTATGGCCATGGGTTGATATCATGCAAAACAAAATAAGATGTAGTAAATGCAGCCAACAAGATCACAAATATAAAGATTGCAAAAATCCACCTCATTGCTTTTTCTGTAAAGGTAACCACACAGCATACGATAAAACTTGCCCAATTCATCAAAAAGCCCAAGAAATAAACAAAAAAAAAACACAACACCAAATAACTTAGAAGTAAAAAAACTTTTCCATCACTTAAACCCAACAACACAAAAACAGAATCAACCAATACAAAAAAAATAATAATTACCACAGCAGAAATACACAACTCAGAAACAGATTACAAACAACAAACAGATGATAACACAAACACTATACAACAAACAAACCCAAACATAACACAAACATATGCTAAAATACTAACACAAACAAATAACATAACACCAGCACAAAAAACACCCACAAAACAAAAAAATAACACAAACAGAGCAGAAAATACTCCAACTCAATCAACAAAATCAAAACAAAAAAACAGTCAAGAAAAAACAAAAGAACAAACACACACAAAGGAACAAAACATAAAAGACAAGAAACTCACAGAATCCCCCATAACATGGTCTCTACCAAACACCACTAAACAAAACCCCAACAATAAAAGAAAAGAAGAAGAAAAGAAGAAGAAGAAGAACAAAAAAACAAAGAAGAAAAACCTTCATTTGTTGAAATAACAAAAGGAATTTTCAAATTAATAACTAATATAACCGAAAAATTCAAATCAGACAAAACAATAATTGAAATAATAACAGAGATAATAACTGAAGTTGCTCCATATTAAAACAAATATCAGTTTGGTTTAATGACTAAAACAATACTATGGAACGCTAGATCTGTAATAAACAAAAAAATAGATATAGAATATCTAATTCAAACAGAAAACCCGGAGATATTCGCAATTTGCGAAACTTGGCTTACAAATAATGACAAATTTGATAAAAGATTATGATATCATAAGAAATGATAGAATAGAACAAAGGGGAGGCGGCTTAGCAATTTGTATAAAAAATGATATACAATACAAGAAGATTAATCTAAATGAATTACAAAATAAAAACATCGAAACATTAGCTATAAAGATTAGCTATAAAAGAGGATGGCTACACTTACTTTAATATATACAACCCATGTAACAAAGTAAATCAAAAAGATATGGAACACTACATAAACCAAATAGAAAAACCAAAACTCATAATAGGAGATTTTAATGCCCATCATCCGCTATGGAATTCAAAAACAAACCAAATATAACAAATATCACTGGAATAAACTTGTTTAATTTAATAAATCAAAATAACATACTGATGTTAACTCCAAAAGGACAAATTACTAGAATAGATCCGAAAACAGGTAAAGGGTCTACAATAGACCTAGTTCTGGGCACCCAGAACTGAGTAAATTAGAAGTAGAAGCAAAAATATATGGAGGAAGCGATCACCTTCCAATCATAATAAGAGACATTAATCACAATAGAGAAACAATAGTTAAAGAGGAAAAATGGAAATTCAATGAAGAAGGATGGATAAAATTTAAAGAAGAAATACAAAAAATAGATGTGGACAATATAAAATCACTGAACGAAATAACAGAAATAATAAAAAACATAGGGATGAAACATTTCAGATTAAATAATGATAATAGTAAAAATAAACCAACAAAACCATGGTGGAATAAAAAATGTAAAGAAGTAATAAAACAAAGAAACAAATCATTCAATAAATGGAGAAAAAATCCTAATGAAAAAAACAGAATAGAATAAAAACTTCAAATAATAGCAAGAGATACAATAGAAAAGGAAAAAAGAACAAGTTGGTCAAATTTCTGCCACTCATTAGATTTTAGAACCCCAACCAAAAAAATATGGAATTTTATTAAGAAACTTTCAGGCAGTAATAGAATAAATAATTACCCGCTAATAGATAATGATCAGCCAATACAAGAAACAAAAAAGAAATTAAAACTCTTAAAAGAAGAATTCCAAAGTATAATAACACACAAAAACAAAATGCTTAATAACAAAATCAGAATTTAAAAGTTTAATAGAATTGCCAAGTACGAACGGATTAAAAAAGGAGATAACATTAAAAGAATTAATTTCTGTAATAAAAAAGACAAAAAATAATAAAGCTTGTGGCCCAGACAGTATCCCTTATGAATTTTATAAAAATATCCCAAATAACCTACTGGAAAAAATTTTAAACATCTATAATCAGTTGTGGATAAAAGGAGAATATCCTATAGAATTCAAGAAATCACTCGTAAATCCGATATTAAAACCGGATAAAGATCCAGCAAATAAAAAATCATATAGATTCATAAGCAGAATCTCATGTATAGGGAAAATGCTGGAAAGCATAATCAACAATAGACTAATATGGTGGCTTGAAAAAAATAACAAACTAAGTCAAGACATAACAGGTTTCAGACCCAATAGCTCAACAATAGATACATTACAAATAATCGATTTTCATATTAAAAAAGCTTATAAAGAGAAAAAATATGCCCTAATAGCATCTCTAGATTTAGAAAAAGCTTTTGACAAAGTAAACCATGATGCAATAATAATAAAAGCAGCTAAACTAGGTATAACGGGTACTCCTCTCAGATGGATATCTAATTTTTTAAATAATAGATCCTACCAAATAATAATAGGAAACCAAAAATCCGAGGAAGGAGGAATAAGTAAAGGACTTCCACAAGGATCTCCATTAAGTCCATTACTATTCAACATAATGATGTCAGATCTAAATCTAACAGTAAAAACCAACAAAATAATATATGCAGATGACATAAAATATAATAACAATAAATGAAAATCTAGAAGAAGCAAAAATCAATCTAGAAGTAGGATTAAATAAAATAGTAAAATGGGCTAACGACTGGGAGCTTAAATTAAATTTAACTAAAAGCAAAGTAATGTGCTTTACAAAAAAAAAGAATAAGACAAATACCAATAATAAAAATAAATAATGAAGAACTAAAATTCACAAATAAACATACAATCCTAGGACTCGAATTCGACGCACCAAAACTAAAGTGGAAAAACCATATTAATAACTTGAAAATTAGATGTACAAATAGAATAAACATAATGAAAAAATTATCAACAACAACATGGGGAGCAAACAGAGAGACAATGATAAAATTCTATGATATCTACATAAAACCAAAAATAGAATATGGTATAACAATTTATGGAACAGCAAATGACACAGAAATAAAAAAAATTGAAACAGTTCAAAATGGAGCTTTGAGAATAGCCACTGGATGTTTAAAGACCACTCCAATAAATGCACTCTATGCCCTAACAAATAAAATGTCGATCAAAAATAAACTAAAAGAAAAAGAATTCACCCAAATGTTAAAAATACTAGAAAAAAAAAGAAAATACACAAATAAAAAAAATGTTAACAGAAAATAAAAGAATATAACCCTCAAAAGGATAAAAATAACTTAATCCATAGAATAATAGAAACAAACAAAGAATTGCAAGTGAAAATAAAGATAAAAACAATGTCAAACATAACCCCTATTCCACCTTGGTTTGATATTACAAAAAATATAGAAACAAAATTCTTAGATGAGCAAACAAAAAATATCCCAGAACAAATAATAAGAGCACAATATATAATGTTAGAAAACACACGATATCGAAATTATAAAAAATTATTCACAGATGGCTCGAAAATAAACAACGATTCCACATCAGCAGCAATATACATACAAGATAACAATATAACAACAATATGGAAACTACCAAACAATACAGAAATAATAGAAGCAGAACTCTTTGCAATAAAACAAGGGCTAAAATACATACAAAATAACAAATTATCAAAATCAGTACTATTTACAGATTCTAAATCTGCACTTCAACTAATATCTAACCCGAAACCTAAGAATTCTAAAAGTATGACTTTTGAAATACAAGAATTGATATATACAATGGTAAATCAAAATCAAATACCTTCACATAAAAACATAAAGGGAAATGAAATAGTAGATCAAGCAGCTAAAAAAGCACACAAAATAAGATATCCCATAACCATACATGAAGACACAAAAAAACAGATAAAACAGATGAAAAAAAAAAACCAGAGAAACTGGAAAACTCAGTTAAATACAATTCTTAACACAAAGAATTATCTATTGCAGAACACAGAACCGCAGCCATGGTTAAGATCCAAAAATAGAAAATTAGATGTCTGCATAACTAGAATAATAACTAAGCACACAAGACTAAATAAACACCTACATAGAATGAAAATAACAAATGACCCTTACTGTAGATGGTGTCATAATCAAGAAGAAGATATAGAACACTTAATCCTACACTGTCCAAGATTCCACTCCAGCAGAACAAAATTGAAAGAAGCCTTAAGAAAAATCAAAGTAATCAACCCTAACATAAACTTATTATTCACAGGTGCAGATCTCTCCCCAACAGAAAAGTTTTATACTCTTAGACACACCAAAATCTTTTTAAGAAAAACCAAACTAACAGAGATCATATAAAAGAAAGAATAGAAAAGAAAAAAGATCCAGGGGATATAGACTATGCAAAAGTCTAAAACCCTATAAAAGAAGAAAGAAGAAGAAGAAGTCTGTGTGGGGGAAATCTTGTTGCATTAGTATTTTGAAGATTAAGGTAAAGTAACACAGTTGTTTATATTGCTGTATGGGAGAGAAAGTGATATTGTTTATATTAACATGTATGCATGTTAATGACACAGAAGACTTGTAGAATGTCAATACTTAGTAGCTGAGAATGGTATATTTTAACGCACCTCAAGTGAATTTACAGACATATGTAGAATGTATTTATAAAGACGGCGTATTTTATTTATACATTTAAATTCAGAACAGGACAGCACAGGGATAAAGAAATTAAAGGCGTTATAATGTTGAGTTCGGAACTCCTTGTATTGCTCCTCCAGACAACTTGTCAGGACCAGCAGCACTATGAAGCCATATTCGGAATCTCCAATGCCTTTGCTGCCCAGAATGCAATCACCTCGAAAGTAAACAATGGTAATTTTCTTGAATACGTCCACCAAACAGATAGTGACTTTTCAGTATCATTGGATTCCTCTTACCATCTGCAATGCAGATATGTAGGTTTTATTGTGCGGAAGTCCCCCCAACTCCACATTCTTGGCACCAATAGCAGGGTAGGGCATGAAAGGTACCAGGGAAATTGCGAAGTTAAACATAAATGATATACACTGAATCGATCACTATATTGTTTAATGCAGGGGGCTGCCATCCCCCAACCCCCACCCAGGAAAACAAAGAATCCTTCACGTATCCAGGGCAGGCTTGAGCAGACAACCACAACGCAGGAGCGACAGGGCCAAGTCTGTCGGACATGGAGGATTCTTTGTTTTCCTGGGTGGTGGTTTTGGGGCAGCCCAGATTGTAGAGTTTGGTCTGCAAAAATTATTTGGTTAAATTTTGTCTGCACAAATGTAGTTCTCAGGTAACTTTCTGTGCACACTTAGTGCTTTTTTAAATCATCTGTGCATAAAATTCTTTTGACCTTTCCACGCACTTGTTTCATCAACCATCCACTAATTAGCTTTACGCAGATAAAAATCGTTTCATAGAATCAACCTGTTCATTTGTTCAAATTTAAAATATGAAAGTGAAAGTGAACGCCAATGCGCCAATCAAGGATCCATACAATTCTACTTGGCCGGGGATCTCCTGCAAAGCATTACATGATTTCCACAAAGGCTCAGTTCTGTTAACAACCGAGTCCTAATACAATATTGATAACCCGAGTTACAAAATCAACCTTATCTTCATGATAGGTATTAAAAAAAAATTGTTAAATATCCATGCAGATGTAGACAAATTGATGTTTTCCGCGCATGAAAAAATTTAATATTCGCCGCGCAAGAAAAATACACTATAGTCTGGGGGGCAGTAGCCCGCAATGAGGGGTCACAGGGGGTATAGCCCCCAGCATTAAACAATTGACAAGCACAAAATATCCTTTGATAACATCAATAAAGGGCCATAAAATTACCCATGCTGCAACTGTAATTGTTTACATACAGATGCTATTGTGATGTCATCTTGTCCTGCTCACCCAGCTTCAAAGGAGGGCAAGATGGAAGAGATGGACAACTTGTCCAGGATGAGAAAGTAGAGGTTTCGAACAGTCAAAACATCTTGTCCAACCTTTCTGGACGAGCAGCATGAGGAGTTCCGAACACATCATAAGCAATGGTTCATTTGGTCAAGAATTATTGCTTCGGGGCCAAGAACTGCACCATTTGATGCTTAAAATGACTGCTAGTTTGAGTAGTGTCATTAGTCCACATGAATGGCTCTATTAAATTACAAACCTGAAAAAATCTACGCTTAAACTCAAGTATCTCCCACAACAAGCATAATGTATAAATATATCTACCCTAACATCTTTTTAAAGCTTAATATTTTCTCCTCTATGCATATATAGTGCCTCTAAATCAGTGACACACTTCTGATTGATAACCCTTACACTTTGATGTGCTATTAAAACAAA